GGGGGCGCTCATAGTATCTGGGCAACATGCAAGATTGGACAACATTGATGACAAAGGCAGGTGGATTGAGGATGGATCATTTAACTATTTGGGAGACATCAAGCTGCAGAGGAAGGGAGAGAGTGCCATGGGTCAAGATCAGAAGGGGTCATCCTCATTTGTTGGAGCACTATGATGTTTATTCCCAACCATCCTCCAATCAGGACTATCATTATGTCATGGGTCACTGCAAAGCAAGGGAGGATGTATCCAGTATCCATCTATCAGAGGGATTGCTTTGCTGCTTCATTTAGCGATGATACATACAAGATGATGTATGCAGCCCATCAGCTACAGTCTATCATTCCTCCAAAGATGACAGCTATGATGCAATTGACAGATACAGACTTTAGCTATGTGTTTAAAAGCTTGATGAGGAAATCTGTTGATAAGATCATGGCAAAGGGGCAGCAGGCTATGGGCACAAGTGATGTGTACCAGATGGGTGAATGCAACGAAAACATAGAAAATCTATTGAAAATCATAGAAAAACGCCAAAAACACTGAAAAAACACACACCTCCAGGGCGTCGTGCTCTCTTTTTTGATGTATATAGTATATAGGTTGTTTTTTTGGAGTGCATGTTCTTGAGAAGGCCTTGTGCAAGCATGTGGGGTAGCTAGTAAGTCAGAGAGCACGAATGCACTAATTAGGTCAGTCACTAGGCCCATGGACCACACAGAGAGCAAGCTGAAACCTGCAGGTGCTTCTGGATTAGTTCACATGCCCCTTGAGACAATGCAATGTAATGGAGGGTGCAGTGCAGTGAACGGAATTCCAACTGATCAGCAGTTTCTTGTCTTACGAAAGGTTCTTTTTGTTCCTAGACCCGTGTAGGCTCTATGCCCCGTGTAGGCCTGCACGTAGAAACAAGAGTTCATGTTCAACCAGCAACCCACCCCCCAATTAAGTGGACAACTTCAGCGATTGAGTAGAAACAAAGAGCAAATAAAGTAAAAATACATATATATATATATAGGCATTTGCTACAGCATTTTGCTTGAGTAGGTCCCCTTAGAGAAAAGCTCCCGCGTGAGCAGCCTTCTACGTGGCGTAGGCTATGCGTACGCTGGTGCGCCATGTGCTCAGCACGGCCTTCCAAGAGGAGTTTTCAATCAAAATGTGGATTTTTCATGCCGCGCAGGTGGACTACGCCCAGAACGGCGTGATCACCTACGATGAGTGGCTTGACTTCAGAAGAATTATTGGTTGGAAAGCCATTGCTTCAGGAGGACTGTTTTGTTTCCATTTGTTTGTCCAAATTGGTCGATCCATGATGTTTTGTTGGGGACATGTGATCTCATTGGTGCATATCGTGTTTGATGAGCGTGTAATGGCAGCTTTACCAGTGCTACCATGCCTTGTTGCGGGTTAAGCAAGTGAATACATGCACCAGGAGTCACAAAGGGGTGGTTTTTAGTCCCTAAGTGAGTGGATCATGGGCACCCCTATCTTCCAATAGGCACCTGGTATAAACTAGTTTTTTTTGCCTTTTTTGTTTATTGTTTGGGGCACCCCTAGGTGCCTGACTGGATGCCACTTGAGGGCCCCTCCAATTCCCAATGATCGAGTCTTCAGAATCTTCGGCCTTTTTGGGGGGGTCGGACGGATGGCCTGTTCCAAAAAGCGGTTCCCCTTGACCAAACTCGTTTGGTTGCGGCATCCCGGGCTCCAGTCGTCTGAGAAGGTGTTTCTGGGTTTGGACGGTCCAAAACGCCTTCTGAGGAGGTACTTGGAGCCCTAAGGGCTCTAGGGTTCACATGACCTTCGTGTTCGTGAGAGATTTGCAACCGGCTGCAATGAGCCACGTGGCGCTCAGGTTTGTCCGAGCCATGATGGAGTTGCAGCCCGATGAAAAGAACAACTGTGGCAACTTGGCACAGCATCCGTGAGAGTGATCTACTCATCTATACTCATCTACCAGCACCTTCCAAGAGGTGTCTAGAAATAGCCTCTTAGTGGTTAAGGGGTATCCATTAACCACCCCAAACAGGGGGCCTGGTAGATATCTAGAGATACTCATCACGGGTGGCCCATCGGTGGCATCGGTGGGTGGCCCACGTTAGCGTGGAGAGCGCAGCGTTCTGCTGGGCCATAGCAGATGCAGCAGGTGACCTATTTTTCAGAGCTACCTTGGGTGTGGTGGCGCGACTATAGCAGTGGAATAGCATTTGGCAATATGTTGCCATGAATCATGGCCTTGCAACTTCCAGAATGTACAGGTTCTTACGAAGATTGGTGAGATCCACTGGCTTCCGGCCATCCACCGGATCCCAAGCCCGCCAAATGTGGAGCATGTATGGCAAGTTTCCGCAAAGATTTGCATGCATGGCGGGTCAATCTCAAGTGCCGCGAAGCACCTAGGCGCTGCCAAGCACCTGAAATCCATTCATTTTCAGATCCCCCATCACTTCTCCCACGTCCTTCCCCCCCCCCTCCGTCCTCTCTGCGAAGCACCATGACGACATGAACCTCGTCGTCTACAAAAAAGCGCCCAGACATCCATCCAAGACCGTCACCCACCACCGCCCTCCCCACCCCCAAACCCTCCCGCACTGGCCATGTACCAGCTCAACCCCCAGATGGGTCCTCCGACCTCCCCCAGGTGGGTCCTGGAACCCCCAGGTGGTTCCTCCAGGTCCCTTGGAGCTGCGGAAGCGCATCAGCCACGCCTATGAGTTCACCTCCGTGGGCCGTCGCAACCGCTTCCGCCTGCACGAGGGTGGCGCGGGTGGACACCGGGGGGGAGACTGGGAGAATGACCCAAGGTTGGGAGGTTTAGGTTGCACACAGGCCTTCAAGGAATCAAAGATTGTGTCTTGCACCTGGGTACACCCTGGTTAGTGTAGTCTCCAATGTGATAGGCAGCCTTTTAAGGTTCAATGCCGTTTGGCGTCCACGAGGAGAGGATGACCTAAGGAGGTGAAGGACGGAAGTAAGATGCTGTGCACTTGAGATGGATTGAGATGGTCAATTATGGTCAATTTTCCTTCGTGACCCCCCCCCTCATGACCCCAGGACTTCTGGGTTGCGGATGGTTGGGGTTTTAATTCAGCTCTCTTGAGCCTCGCATAGCCTTGCCAGGTCAGAAGATCATCCCGAAGACAGCGGGCATGGTCTACAAAGCATCCCAACACTTCCAACGGGTGCCGGACTCAGAGATGGATAATGCTCAGAGCCTACATGAGGAACTCATACATTGTATATAATATATGACTATACAAATATATACAGTATATATATATAGATCACTTTATATTGCATACATGGAGTGTTTGGGATGGATATGGCAGATGCTTCCTCACATTTTCGGTGCAGAGTAGGACATAGAACACCAGCCTCGTCTTCAATTTACCAGCTTCTTCAGACCTTTCAATTGAAGTTTTCTACACGTGTCCTTGAATGGGCCTCACTTGTGGCCTGCTGGCCAGGGTGTAGAGTCACTTTGAAGCAACAGCCATGTCCAATCATCATGTACTCGAACCAGCATCCTTCAGCCTCCTGCAGGTCTCCTCTAGAGGGTTGTTGAGGGTGGGGCCTCAATTGGCATGTAGAGGTCGGGTGCTGGTAGATGTGGAGCTCCACCTCCGCTCCAGAATTCCTCTCACCAATCTCCCAAGATTCATGACTTGTTATATTACTTATTACTTCTATTTAAAGGTTGCAATTTTAATTTTTGAAGACCCAGCTAGGGGGGTTGATCCTGAGCCCGATAAACTTTAAATCTGCAGGCGCGGATCTATCGAGGTCAGTGGGGAGCCTCAGGGGAACCTATCGCCGGTGGAGCTGGGGGATCCCTGACTCCCATGTGAAGACCGACCCGCCATGGGACTGACCCTTAGACACATCTCAAAACGTACACCTCAATGTATATCCCTAGACCTCCAGTCGTACCTTCTGAGAAGGTGTTTGGGGTGGGTTTGGAGGGTCCAAATAATACCTTCTGACTCCTCAGGTGCTTGGAGGTGTAGGGTATAGCCCGTTCGGAGCGTCTTTGTTCCTAACATAATGATCAACCGGTCAATGGTTCCAGTCGGATCAATCCAGTTGACATTGCAAGATCATGATCAATCATTCATGATCAATCCTGATTGGGATTCCAACAAAATCCAGTTGGATCCAAGCGGAATCGGTCAGAAGGTGAGTGGAGGTAGTAGTGGAGGTGTCTCGAGTCAGATGCTTGCGCATTCGGCTCAGATGCCGGGACACCATGGACAATGGACTCGTTGTAGCTTGTGGCTTGGGGATACGGAAGCGCCTATACTACTTTGCTCTTTGGATGGAGGACATCTAGCACCACATTTCACCCAATTCTTATATTTATTGTCAGTTCAAGGACGCCCTAGGAGGCGGTTGACAACCCCAAAAGAGCGTCAGGTGGTATACGGCATATTGGGGCAGAAATATGGAAGAAATCCTGCACCACCCTGATATGCACAAGGTTTTGCAACACTTCGAGGCAGTGAGGAACAATGAGAAACATGTATCCGGATATATCAATACCGCTAGCATCCGCTGTGAAACCGTTTGGAGGGTGCGGATCAACACAATTTTTGATAATGTGATCTTTGGACAGGGTTCGTCTCCAGGGGTGCCCTCCGCTTGGTTTAGATTCGGAAGCCTTGTTTCTGGCGAATGCTCAGCACTTGGGGATTAGCATCGCTTCTTGTTCCGTGCGTAGCGATGCCCGGGTTCCGTACGTAGCGATGCCAGGAGCTACGTGCGTAGCGCCTTGTTCCTAGTGTCTCGCCTGTCAGGCCCCCTGCCTTGCGGCGTGGATGGCACACTCCGGACATCTCCAGGTGAGGTGGACCGAAGAGTGGTCCGAGCTGAGCTGGAGCGGGAAGACATGGTGGTCTTTGATGCCTTTGGTGCTTTTCAGAAGACAGCCAGCCTGGGGAAGATAGAATGTGAACATATTGAGCCAACCCATAAACATGGCCAGCTTTCTTTGGTATTGTTTGATTTTCGATGATTTTCGCGTAGTAACTATAGTATTCTGCACCGTATTTACTCGGACATACTCAGACGGCTACAGGAATTATGGATGTTCACGGTCCAAATTGGCCATGAAGTGGATCTGGTGGAAAGACGTGCTGGGGATTTATACTGGGATGCGCTGAGTCCCCAGATGCGCCCTCACCGGGTGTCCTTTGAACGACTTAAGCCAGATTCTAGGCCGCTAGAGACATGCGGATCGCAGGTCATTTGAGGTTGACAATATGTTGACATGCTTGAATAGGACCCATTCAGAGAGGGAACATGTGGGAACAGACCCTGGGAACATGAGGGAGCCGTTGAAACAGCAATACGAACTGCCTGGGGACACGTCTCCACGGTTGGACGTGCGTGCGCGCACGCATGTGTTGTTGAAAGACACGTCAGGCATTGCAGCCGTGAGTTCAGCTGGAGCCCGAGACACTTTGTGTGGAAGATTGTGGAAGTTCATGGAAGTTCCACTTCTGACTTTCCCTCAATGAAGAGCCGTGATCCAACATGATTCGATTCGCTTGAACATCCATATTTGGCCATTCTGATGGCCTCAAGGCGAGACAGGGTTGGTGGGTGAGGCGAAGCAGGGTTGGCCTCCACAGTGCGAAACAGCATTCTGGAACAACGGGATGCTTAGCTGTCGTGAACGTTCTGTAGGGAACCGGTTGACATGGCACAGATGCTGTTTTTTCTTCCCGCGCTGTCGTTGACAGCGCTGTTTGGACTATATGGGGCTCATTTGGAACTGATGTATGTTAATGCTTTTACTATGCGTAGTGTACTGCATTACTTTTTCGAGCCCGCAACATGCTCGCAACATATTACGAATGGGTTTAACAACATTAGAACATGATAAAGATGATCTCCCAAGTTCCATCCACCTTTTTGCAGTCCAGTCCTTCTTTTCCGCCGTGCCGGCTCGTGCCGGGCGAGGCCCATAACTGTTTGGGGGGGTCAACCAGGGTCAACCACGGGCATAGCACCGCAGAGGCCTTGAACATATGGATCCTTCGCCGTGAGCTGAGTGGTTTCCTTCGAAGATGTGAGATGCAGCGTTGGACAGGGAGGGCTTCCTGGAAGTGGTCAATTCTTTTGGCTGTTGGTTTCACACTGTGTCGTTATCTAGGTTGGTCTTTTATAAACAATCTCTCGAATTATTCTGGTGCCATTTATTTGGACGTAGCCGCAAACCTGGTTGCCTCATGACTCAGCAAGAGTCCAAGAATATCAATTTATATATCAAACTATGAAGCTACCTTCGGTTCCCCAGTTCTCCACGTAAGCCAGGTTCTTCGACCGAACTTGGTTACCCCAGTTTGAGGTCACGAACGACCCCAGTTAAAGGTCACTGGATGGGACTCCGGTCTTGGAAGAAGCTGGACCATGATGGTCTCACAGAGTGTCAACGGATGTCTCATGGAGGTATGACTTGACGTGAAACCAACCTCGCACGCGTTGGGAGAAATCGAGGCCTGATCATCGAGGACTCAGGCGCCAGACGAAGCGGCGAAACGGACGTGCGATGGCTCCTTCTTGGGTGACCAAAAGGAACACGAACCGCTTACACTTACACTCCCTGACATGATCATGGCAAGTGGAGTGGGTTCACCACCTGTGCGGTATTCGGATTGCATGGTCCTCTTCGGACTTCGGGGCTGTTTGCTATCCATGTAACATCATGTAACCATGGATGTTTCCAAAGAGTGTAAGAAAATGTCAGAAACAACAGGAGAGGAACGGTCTTTCCGGTTGACGGACGTGCCTTCGCTTCTTTCCTCCGAGCCCGTAAACCACTCCGATGGACTCCGATGGTGTCCCTTCGCCTCGTCGACGACGCGTCGGCCCACGGCATTGGACGGTTGTGTGGGGATATATGGGGCAGGGCACCATGCCGTGCTGCTTACCTGCAGACATCTTCAAGACGTCCAATATGTAACAGGTAGCAGTTAGCAGGGTGCTCTGTGTAGTTGAAGCCTGGCTAGACCTTGGAAGGATTTCCTGGGGCCCTGCAGGCAGTCCGAAGGTCGGCACTTTGTCACAAGAATTGAACTTTGCAAGCTTGGCAGCATCCCGCATTCCCGAATGGTCTCAACATATCTCAGCGATGATTATGCATGCCAAACCCCATGTCTCAAAAAATAGAACACCACAGACCACTCTTTACACCCAGGTCAGAACTTGACGACCCCGCCCCCCCCTCCGCAAAAAAGCGAGGCCTCCCATGCTACAGCGTGGTTGGCACACACCTGACATCTCTCGGCATCCCAGCAGAGACTTCAGCCCGGCCACCCAATGGCCTCGTGGAGTCGTACTCACCGGGGGTTTTCCATCGTGGTGAGTGTTGGTGACCGATCGAAGGCATGATGCCTTGTTAACCCCTCTTGCAATTATTGATATTGGATGTAAGACATTTTTTTGGGGGGAGCTGATTGAACACACTGTATAGAAGTGTCATCAAAAGGTTGAAAGGGGTTGCCAGATGCGCAAGATTTTGCCTTGTGGAATTTGCAGGAAGATCTGAGATTGGCTTATATGCATTTCCAAAGTAAACCTCCGCAAAGCATGACCATGCCTGCTTCATGGACATGTTTTACTGCAAGCCGACGAAAAACCTCCTCAGCTGCATCAGTGATTCAGTGATATCGGTCTTTTTGACTGAATGCCCAGCCAGAGGCGACCTGAACAACCTGAGCCAACTGCCACATGTTGATTCAGTCCCACAATTCCACTGGTGAGGGTCAACACTCTAGATGCTGCCTGGCCCCGAAAAATGAAGCAAGACAGAAGAAAGGGAAGCACAGAGGAAAAGCTGGCCTCAAGGCGCCCTTTTCCGGAGGAGGAGTGACACTCCAGGACAGGACCATGGTAGAGACCTTTGAGACGTTTAGATCGCTCTACAAACCGGGTGGTTTTCACTTCCATGTTAGTGTCACCGGACGCACGAGGGACACACAATAAAGGTGGTGATCCAGGTGTTCGTTCCTTCGGTTCGACGTCCGCCTCGAGACCGTGGAGGTTCGGGCTGATCCACGAGCCGCCTCCGTTCAGCTGCTTCCGGGTCCGAGGCCTGGAGCAAATCTGAGGGAGCGCCAGGCACGGTGGGAGGGGGGGCGTTTGGGGCCCCGGACGAGTGAATGAAGCATCCGGGACGAAGCAGGTGTTTGGGGGTCCAAAGTCAAACCGGACCACTGGGTGAAGACGCTATCACCACCTGTCTTGGGCCTACAGGATCAGTGACCCACAGTCTCACCATGTCTAAGCGCATATCTAAGCATCATCCAGATTTCAGGGTGGCCTGAAAAAACACCAATTCGGGTGGGGGAATTGTTCATCGAATGCACGTTCCCGAGGACACAGAGTGCTTTGAACTGTTCGCCGGTTCGCCCTTTGCTCTCCAGCCGTCGTGCTTTGACTCGCGCCGGCTGAACTTGCAGGTGAAGGAGCCTATGCCGTGATGGCATGGGCCACGTGTTCTGTTTTTCTGAATAGAATTGGGTGTCAGTCTGGGCACCCAGTTGTATGGCAGGAGCTAGGCAGCTGAGCTGGTAGGGAGCATGAAAGAGATCACCGCCGAGAAACATGGGCCATAGGGATCAGTGCCGGAGGTGCGCACTCGCAGAATCAGGCAGGGTTAGACTCACAATGCAGCTAATCATAGACGAAGGAGAAAACATGAGAACACCTGAATAAAAAGGCACCTCTTCAAGATGGTCCCCCCCGAAAAGCGTCAGGTTTGCTGTGTCAAAAAGATATGTTCCCTGCCGAAGCCACTAGGAGCTTACTTTTGCTGTGTTCTTGTGGCTGTTGCTCGACCACGAATGCCCCCGATTGCTGCGGAGCCACGAATCCTTCCCCGGGTTCATGGCCAATCGGCAACGAAAATCGAAGGTGTGCTTAAGCAGACTGCATGGTCGGAAGCAGGGCAAATGCCGCGCTCCTTTTGGGTACCCAATGTGGGTTGCTCCATGATGGGAGGACCAGCAGGGCGTGAACACGCCACACGGAGGCTGAGGTCCGAAGTAAATCGAAAGAATGGCCCAAGGAGGGCAGGAGCCAAGGTCCCGTGTGAGCTGCCACTTAGGATAAAGGGGGACCCGACTTAGGACTTAGGATGTTTGGTATAAGAAGGATGTCCCACACAAATACCATCAACTACTAGCTGCTTGGTTGGTTTGGGATGGTTTGGGCTGACTTTGCCATGTGTTTTCCTTTTCAGATTAGTTAGTTCCTTGCAGCAGCGGGCTCCTGGATCAATTCAACTTGAATCGTTCTGGACTTGATTTGACCTTACTTGGCCACGTGGAAAAATGGCACCCAAAACCACCTGGGGAAGACCACCCGCTAGTCATGAATTGACTTTTGGCCATGGACGAACTTCCGAGACCTTCCCAGCTTGCATTCGGAGCCCCCAAAATGCCCAACTGCCCCAAGGAGTCCAAGGAGGAACCCAGGGCTTGGATGGAATATCCTGCTGATGCTTGCTCAAATCCAATGGAGTCCTCATGTTTGGTGATCGGATCTCACGCTGGATCTCACGCTGTGGATCTCGCCCTTGGTGCACATCAATTCGTTCGATGTGGCACGAGTCTTTTGGGGAATCGTCCAGCATTTTCGCCGCGGGAGAGACTGACGCCCAGCTGCCTGGGTGATGTTGTTCACGCGGGAAAAAGGAAGATGGAAGATGCACTCCTTTGGAGTTGTGCTTGTATGTGCTACTGTAGTTCTTTTGTTCTTTGGTGTGTGTGTGTGTTTGTGTTCTTTTTGAAGTTGGTTTGGGGGTGGGTGAACTGGAACATTGCCTATTGCACAAGACA